AAACGACTCCCTAACACAAAAAATGACACCAGACCCACACTCACAAAAACCACACAGGATGTCACCACCACACATCCACGCAAAAAGCAAACCCAAAGCCACACTGATGATGAGGCATGACCACAAACCAGAAGCCAGACAACAGCTGCATCATTAGCCACTTTAAACCCCTCCAATCATACATGAAGCAAACTGACACCCTCCATGAAGATGAGGCACGACCACGAATGCGAAACCAAAAAATAGCAAGGCAACCCACCATCTTAAACCTCCCTGCAACTCAGACTAACCTGAGCACAACAAAGCCCCCACCCAAACAGAACACTCCCCCAGCCAATCAGAGCACAGCCAACCCCCCAGCCAATCAGACCACAGCCAACCCCCCAGCCAATCAGACCACAGCCAAGCCCCTAACCAATCAGAACACACCTCTACCCAATCAGAACACAGCCAAGCTCCCACCCAATCAGTTCATACCCCCACTGGCAGTTAAAAGGAAGAAACAGCTAAGACCATACATTGCTCCTCGAAGCACGAAGCTGAAAACACCAGCCTGAAGATGGCGAATGGGACTTCGTCGAAACGTCGCCAAGACACTTCCAATTTTACACAGGAGAAAACCCGAACAACCAAAGACCTACATACAAACACCCGCCAAAACCTCAGAATATATATATATATATGTGTGTGTGTGTGTGTGTGTGTGTGTGTAGGTCTTTGGTTTTTCAGGTTTTCTCCCACGTAAAATTGGAAGTGTCTTGGCGATGTGTGTATATATATTTTTTTAGGTTGCTAACAAAGAATAAAGAGAGAACTGGTATAGCTATTTCGAGTTCCATTAACTCTCTTCAGCCAGACTTACTCTTCTGAGATTCGAACCTGGGCTTATCTGCATGTTAGGCAGTTGTTATAACCTCTAAGCCACAGGCTCTCTCCCACTCTGTTAGCTATCAGGAGAGAGACAGGGGGAGGAGATTTTTACCTTGAATGTACACCCTGTCAGCCCAAATATGGGAGAAAGAAATCTTCTTTCTTTTTCTTTTCTTTTGCCTGTATCTAAATTTAACACATATATATTTAACATATATATATATATGTTAAATATATATATGTTAAATTTAGATTTTATGCCGACAAAGAATTAAAGGTGTTCTATTAGAATATATATATATATATATATATATATATATATATATATATATATATATATATATATATATATATATACTCGTGTGTGTGTGTGTGTGTGTGCGTGTGTGAGAGAGAGAGAGAGAGAGAGAGAGAAAGAAAGAAAGAAAGAAAGAAAGAAAGAAAGAAAGAAACAATCGTTTTAGCTAGGCTGATTGGGGCTGGGTTCAAATATCTCACTAAGCCAAACATTATTTAATGATGCTTTATTGAATATACCACAACTGTTTATTTATACCCCACTCTTCTATTCTGGCAGGTTCTCAAGATTACCAACATTTTAAAAAACCAAACAAAAGCATTAATACTTTGATCTAAAATAGCTCAATCATTCAAAATTTAGCAAAAGAGATATATGACTTTATACATTTCCAAAATGCTGAGAAGGGAGGGTAAAAACTGGTGTGTTCCATGGCATAGGAGCAACTCAGAACAAAACCTTTCTGGTCTGCCAGAAAGATGGACTACTAACAATGGATAGAAGTTGAAAATCTTTCAATCAGTTTCTACACTATTTAGGGCTTGAAATGCCAGTAAGCTAAAGACCCTTCATGTTCAGAATCAACACCTTCAATTGTGACCCATAAGTAATTATGTGCCCTGGCAATCAGGGCAAATCTTTGCATCACATGAGGCCAATTATAAGGTTACCAGAAGTATTTTGTACCAGCTGCAGTTTTCAGATACTTTCTTTGGCGTCCCCATGCAGAGCATGTTGCAGAAGATGAGATAAACCAACACACTGCCATATCTGAGGAGCTCAGGAGGGTTTTCAACTGGCGTACCAAGAATAATTCTTCCAAGCTTTCTTGGCACAGCTTTCTGCAATCCAATAACAACTAAGGAACTTTCTAAACACAACCTTATGATTAGCATCTTGTTCTTGATTTAATTTTAGCTTCTTCATCCAGCCCATTCTCAAACTAAGGCAACTTTCAAACTTTCTGGCTACTTCCTTAGAGATGGGTAGTAAGGAGCACCCCAAAAGTCTGGATGACCTTCCCAAATGGTTCAATCAAAATGTTGAACAGAAAGGGAAACATGATGAAACCCTGAAAGGCAATGTAAGTCAGCAGCTGCCTTCTTTCAGCACTATTTTCTGAACATGGCACAACAGAAAGAACTGGGATCACTGCAAAAATTGTCTGCAATGCCCACTCTTACCAGGCAATCTAGAGGTGTATAATATAGTTCAGTGGTGGCGAACCTATGGCACGGGTGCCACAGGCAGCACTCAGAGCCTTCTCTGTGGGCACACGTGCTGTTGCCCCAGCCTTGCCTCCCTCACGACCCCCCTGGAGGAGAGTCGCCGAGCGTGGGCCACACGGAGCAGTGCAGCCAAGGACATGGCAGCCAGACAGAGTAGACAAGACTCTGCCCTCACGCTCCATCGTGCAGTTAATGCTGCGAGGTGCGGGCAGAGGGCGTGGCTGCCATGGCGCTGCTGGGCGATCTGCAGTGGGATCTGGAGGCGGTGAGTGGCCCTGCGGGCAGGCGGGGTGGGGGCAGGGTGGGGGTGGGGCCAGTTTTGGGGCACTCTCTCTCTAAAAGGTTCACCATCACTGATACAGTTGATGGTTCTGAAACTAGATTTGCATTCTAGCACACCCTTTAGTGAGACACTTGAACTTTACAATAAAAGGGCACGCTCCAGTAGCACTAGCCACATAGATCAAACTATTAGTTTTGTACATTCCTTTCCATAAGGTGTACTTGCACATTAAAGAGAGCCTCAAACTTGTCAGATACATTTTTGCCAGATGTATTGTATGAACCCAGAAAACTAGACTATTAAATAAATAATGGAGCCCTTAACATAATCATATCAGCCATGAAAGAGAAAAAGATATTTAAATGCTGTGATGTGTTTATATCTGCAAAGATCAGACTTCTGCAAGCCATGATATTCCTGTAACATTATATGTAAGTGAAAGTTGGACTTTAAAGAAGCAAGATACAAAGAGTACTGCCCTTTTGAACTTTGATGTTGGAAAAGACTCCTGAGAATACAATGGATAGCCAAGAAATTAAACCAGTGGATCATTGAACGTATCAACACAAATAACCAGGCTCAAATTATACTGCTTTGAATACATAGCTCTCTGGAAAAGTTGGGAAAGCTGGAAGGAAATAGAAGAGGACAAACAGCAGCAAAGTGGATGAAATCAGTTTCAATGGCTATTAGTGCACTCTTGGGAGACCTGAAAGACCAGTTTAAGGACAGATTGTCATAGAGAACATCTATCTATGTGGTTGCTAGGAATCAATGTCTTGATGGCACATAATCAGTCATGCAGGCTACATGTTTTATACACAATAAGGTTTAAGGGCATTTGAGAAAACTAAAATCCAGCTGTTGGCTCTCTTAAAAGTGCTGGGTTGACTGGATTATTCCAGAACAAACATCAGCAGTAGGCTTTGATATGATGCTTGAGCTCTAGCAACTCCCCCAGGATGCTTGGTGCTGATTTCATCACAGGAACTGCATGTGAATGCAACACTTTGAATAAATCATTGATAATCCTCCCAATTTACCCATATCCTCTCATAGCACATTAAACTATGGCATTCATGTCTTGCTTGTGGCTTTTTAATATACAGTTGATTAGTCAATGTCAATTCTGCATGGGTTTTTCTTTTAGGATGCCTGTGAAAATTCAAACAAGCAATAAAAAAAATTATCCGCATTCTCACTTCTCCTCTATTCCTGGCTGAGCATATTCCAACCATAAACAATACAAAAAATTACATTCGCAAAGGAGTTTATCACATGAAACAAGCACAAGATTCCTGGAATATGTGTTAAACCAAAACATTTTCATATAAAATTAATACAAATACACTTCCATCAAATGCAATGGAACGGGGCTTTTTTAGTAACTACAATTTTTATTGAGGCCAGAAAGAGGCAGGAGAAATTGGTTAGAAGAAACAGAATGGCTTCAGAGTTGGAGACCGAAGATTCAGAGTATTATGATTAACAATCAGAAGCCTGCTTTTAGAGGCAAGTCTTTTGTCATCACATTAAGCAATAGAGTTTGCTTTAATGTGATGCATATAAACTCAGTCTTTTTCACAGAGGACAAGCTCCCTCCAGCCAGGAGACACTCGTCATCTTCCTTGGCCTTGACGCCAGACCTGACTTTCATCCCGAGTTCATCTGTCGAGGATTTTTCAATTAAACCAAAATAATTAGTCTGTGACCAATTACAGTGCAAAGGAAGGAAACAAACGTAGCTCGAGGCCAATGATGGCTTAGGAAGGCAGGCCTCTGGGTAACAAAGGGCCAATAAGGGCACGCAAATGGATATGTTGAAAACGAAAGTTCCGACTTTAAACATCGCAGGATGCCTTTAAGGCGTTTACTGTAAGCCTTTTATTTTAAAAAACAAACAAACCCTGTATCTTCTGAAAAAGGCATATGATGGGCGATCTCATGAAAACAATCGCCCGCTGCAGAAACTGCATTTATTTTTCACCCATGTTATTCACCTAGGCTTATGACGAATGTGAATAAATGCCGACAGGGCAAACAAAATTGCAGATACTGATACACATTTAGGACCGATCCTTTTCATATCTAAATTCTTTGAATTTAATCGAACTTCCCTCCAAGTAAACCTACATTAAGACTGCACTGTTCAAATTTTCCCACCAATGTGAGAACTCGGGCGTGAAATTCTGCCCGTCTTTAACTGAAGAAAAAGTCGTGCAAGAACACATGACAGGAGGAAAATGAGGGGCAGAAATGTTTGATTTCTGACTGGAGTTAACGGAGTTGGTGCACTGCAGGGAGAGTACCTTTTTTGCAGCTCCTACTTGACAGACGATATTCCTTTTGGCTTCATTTTTGAATATTGCTGTTCTAGAAACTTCCCACGACTACCACCTTGCGGATGCCGATTATACCGATATCAGAATAAGGTTTGGTTTAAAGAATGGGTGATTCGCTATCCTCTGCGGAGCAAAACACAAAATTCATTTTGAGACAGAATGCGCTTTTATGGAAAAGCGCGTTCACTTTGGAGAGCCATGGGATTTCATGAATAAGGTGCCTGTCATTGATGCAACTGTTTTTGCAGGGCGCTCCTACTACGCATTTTTCCTTCCTCAAAAGGAGAACTCAGTGCAATAAGGAGTACTCCCAGGAAAATGTGTGCACAAAACCTGCAGCGATTTCGCTCTTTTTGTGGGAATTGTCATGCCATCGCTCCAGGGCTGATCTCTGTACTGCGCCAACTCCGAACATCAGTGGGTAAAACACCAGCCGTAAAAGAACGAAGCCTTTTTCTCCAATGTCTCTCTTTTCGTTGCTTAATTCAATCCTATTTCCCTGGAGTTCACCCCCCCCCCCAAATCCAAGGCTGGCCTTTGTTAGGCCTGCGGTGCGAATCGGGACTTGTCTCACGCTCGCGCAGGTTCCTTGGGGGTGGAGCAGGTCTAAAGCAGGAGCGGTTTCCGTGCGCCCGGCTCCGCTGACAAACTAGCGCTCGCCAGAAGGGGAGGGCGGGGGCTCGCTCGCTCTTCTCTCGCGCGCGCTTGGGAAAATGTTACGCAGGTTCTAAAATGGAACGTTAGCGGCGGCGTGATTGAGCTCTGGAGTGGGGGCTCGGAGTAAGTAAGAGCGAGAACAAACAGCTATAGCCGGCACGCAGTCGGATACTTCCCTCAATCTGCGAGCAGCCGCTGCCTTTGCCACCTCCTTCTTCCTCCCTGTATGGAGCTTTCCGCTATTGGGGAGCAGGTGTTTGCTGTGGAGAGCATCAGGAAGAAGCGCGTAAGAAAGGTGGGTGCTGTTTCCCTGCGGCGACTTCGCATTTATTCTGCAGGGCTGCAAACGGCATTTTAGGGAAGAAGAATCTAGAAGGCGGGATTTCTTCCATGGCTAAGCCTCCTCTTCGGACCTTTAATTACAAACCGTTATTCTAGCAGTAGCTGCTCTGCTGATTCCCAGCGCAAAAAACACCGCGCGGTACGGCGAGCGAAGTGGAGTACCTCATCCTCTCTCCCCCCAGTTTGTACACACGCCGTAGTGCGAGTAGGGGGGCGTGGCGGAACTTCTCATTTTCCTGCCAGGAGGGGGCGCCAGTGAAGCCCAAGAGAGGGCTGATTCGCAAGAGTGCAGAGAAACGATGGTTGTTGCACGTTTGTCACGTGGTGATATCCCCGTTGGAATGTGCACAGGGGTTGCAGCGTTCCCCAGAGCAAGTGCTAGGTCTGACGACTCGTGTAAATGTCTTGAGTTTAATAGATCTCAGCCCCAGACAACTAATGTATCTTGGATTGCAAATTGGATTGCAAATTTAAAATTGCTGCAGAGTGGGTCTGTTAGAGTAGGGCAGACGTTTCTGCTAGAGGAAGAACAAATATGCCAAAATGGGTGGATGTCATATTTTTTTAAAAACTCTGCCTCTCAGATTGGATCATTTTTTTGCTTCCCATATCCTGATGAACAGAGAAGTTGGAATTGTATCTTTTGGAAGAAGGTTAGCTATTTCCAGCAGCTTTAGTGAAATTTGAGATGGTTCTAAGATGATCTGATGATTATTTGGGGTTTTGTTTAATCTTTATCAAGTTATTTAAGCCATAAATACTCACCATCGGCTGATTTAGCTGCCTTTCAGAGGTAATTTGTGCTGATCAGTGAGTTTCTTTGAAATGAAAAATAACATTGTATGAAATGAGGATTGCAAGGCTATAACATCTTTTTTTTAAAAAATGGATTTTTTTGGTAACATGAAGCACAATATTGGTAATTTTAGGAGATGAGAATTCACTCAACAGTTTATCAAATGCTTATTAATAAAATGGAAAGTAGTATATCAGATCTTATTAGCTCAAACCTCTTAAACTGTCTTCATGTTTGTTTGCTGGGAAAAAAAACCCCTATGCTGATGGCCTTCCATTGTGGGAGAATTAAACCATCACTTCACTCCTTATTTCCTATCAATTAAACACAAGCTATCATGTATGCCCTTTTCTCCATGATTTCTTGTGTTCAATTGATAGAAGTAGGCTGGCATTCTGTACTGTGAACCAATGAGTGTATTTATAGATTGGGAGGATGCTGAGAATTTTGTGCAGCAATTCCAGCAATTATCTGCACTAGTTTAGATAATCTGAGAAACATTCCTATAGCCCAGTGTTCAGACTATTGCATAATTATATGTAATCTGCTATAAGCAGAGCTCCTGTGTGATGTACCAGAAGCACTTGCAGGCAAGGGGATGAAAGTAGCAAGTTGCTCAAATCAATCCATCCTATCTAGCAGGCAGGATTTTTTTTCTCCCAATTTCTAAACATTCCTTCTTAATCTTATAGATGGGTTGTTTTGTTGCCTTTGTGGTGCTTTGCAGTTTCTTTATACGCCCTGGAAGCCTTTGGATATGCCTCCAGGGCAAGCCCAGGAATTGCAGCTCAGTGGTGGAAAGGTTTAAATATATAAATGCAGAAAAATGGGCAAATTGAAGGGTGCTGTTTGTTAGAATATTTTATAGAACTGTTTGTGGGGCTTGACGGAACTACTGATTTTACTTCCTTTCTTTTCTCTTTTTCTATAGGGTAAGGTGGAATATCTGGTGAAATGGAAAGGATGGCCCCCCAAGTAAGTTTGGATTATATTTGAAAACATTGTAAACATGACCTGTCTTGTATTTATTTATTTTTTCCTTTTGGCCTCAGCTTCAAGAGAAGGATCTACTTATGTTTTCCCTCATCTTTTTGAATTGAGTACAACTGATAAGCTTTTTAAAAAAATGTTTTCTTATGGTGTTGTGGAAAATAGTTCAAGAATAGAAGTCCACCATCCCAAATGAAGCATATATTTTAAAAATAAAAGATTATAATTGGTGTAATTATATAAAAAGAGTTATTAAATTCTTGGAGATAATATGGGGTCCAAATGGAATGAGTAAGGAGCAGATTATGAGTTTGCTAATTGAACAATAAATAAAAATTTGCTAGTGACTTGTCCATTATTTGAAGTGGTTGTAAGTGGAGATTGGCAGAGAGTGACGAAGAAAAAATAAGCAGGTCCACTTATTGTGTGTGATATGGAGAACAGTAGAGGTCTCTTTTGTACAGTTTAGAAAAGTTTCTGTTTCTCTGTGGTTCACCAGAAGCTTGTGTGCATAGGTATCCCTGGCAAGATGGCAAATCGGTTAATGCCCAACTTTATTTTACCCTTAGATATCTGGCAACTTAATGCCTTTTTCTTTCTAATTCAAATAGCATAGGCTCAGCCACATTATTTCTTCCTAGCATGTAAAGTATGTAGCATCCATTCAAATAAAATTATATTGTTTAAGCAGCTACAAGATAGTTGCTTGGTGTTTCTAGCCATGCTGTGCTTTCCAAGAGTTAATTACATTTCAGCAGGCAGAGTAGTAATTTGCTTTGCAATATGCTATAGTGTGAAGCAATAAAATCATTTATGTAAAAAAAAGTATTCCTGTTAATCCAAGCCATAGGAAAATCTTCGTTATACAAATTATATTGTAAATATAATAACTTATATATTTCATTGGAAATTAAAATGGGCCTAATGCCAGTGATTGGCACAATTGATTTTAGATTACAGATGGCACAGTTTCATTGATGAAGGATGTATTAGTAATTTTGAAGTGAACAGAGCCTTCTGTGTTTAGAAACTTTGCTGCTCATCAAGGCCCTGGGTTCTGGTTCCCTAATCTTGCTCTCATATCACCACTGAACACAGCTGTAGGCAAATCATCTGCCAGGATATTATTGGCTTCCTGCTAATCCTGGAGTTCAGATTCTGAATGGGCATCAGATCTTGAACAGAAAGGAAGATATCCAAAATATGCTCTCTATTATCAGTGCTAATAGTGCTTCTTGAGTGTAATCATGAAAGTATTAAATAAGTTTCCCATCACATGTGTTGGGATTATGCCTCTTGGGATTTTCAGCCTCCCTTTAAACATCAGAGTGAAACCTGGTTTAATTTTGTGCATTATAGAGACTACTCTGATAAATTCATTCTATTATTTCTTAATTCATAATATTCCTCCACTATATCAGAAATATTTCTAAATTTTATAGTTTCAGAAAGCAGCAAAAACTCCACCAGAGTATCTTTTCATTCCTATTCACTTTAATAAAATAAGCTCCAAATAAGGATAGGTTAGGGTCTTTTAGCTTTTCTGTTGAAAAAAAAAAAACTTTTAGCTTTTCTGTTGGAAAAAAAAAACCCTGAAATGGCTATTTAGAACTGCCAAATCAATTAGAAACTAGCCTTAAAACCAACCATTGGTTTTTGTTAGAAACTCTCTTACAGATCACAGTTTTTCCCCCCTTTGATTGCCCTTTTTTGACATAGGACTTCGAACATTAAAAATGCATTGTTCTGGGCTCTATTTTAGATTAATTTTATGAGGGAATTAATTTCTGTTGGTGCCTATAAATGTCTACAGTATTTCATTCTACAAGATAGGAGGCAAATGGCTGCAGATCAAGAATTTGGGGGAGGGGTGTTTGTGACTTTTTCCTCTCTTCTCCTCCCCCCCCCCCTTTGCCTTTCTGAAAACTTGCCTTCATGCCCCACCCATCAGAGCCAAGAGCCAAGAATCTGGTTACAGCTCTGAGTCAGCTGCAAGCTTGTTTACAACTTGAGTTAGAAGAAGGGAGGGGGGAGGAGAGAAGTGATCATATGACTTGTATTTTCCAGAATGCGTGGTCTGCAGTTCTGCTGCAGTCTGGTCCTTTCTGTTTGTGTGGTGGTGGTGTATGCGTTTGTCTTGTGTGGCGAACTGCACTGTGTTCCTATATGCAGTGTTTTCTTACTGCAGTCAAGCAAGAAACTGAACTGCAGAGGAATGGGCAACACCCATAGGATATTTATTAAAAATTCTGATCTAGGGTTCCCCCCACTGCCCAATGCTGCCTCCTTTTTCCTCCCAGGAATTCTTAGCTTGCTCTTTATTCACTGATTAAAAGTGCTGCCAAAATCTTCCCCAGCAAAAAGGAAGGAAGCAAAATTACCATTTGTTCAAATGGCATTTTTGGGTTTAATCGCTTTTCATTGTAGACATTGGCACAAAAAGAGAGATGAGGGAGAAAGGGATTTTAAAAGGCTCATTAATAAGGGGAACAGAATATAAATGAATGAAAATGAAGCTGAAGATATAACTATTTTTAACCTTGTCTTTCTCCTATGGGCAGAATCTGAAAGGCATCTTTTAAAGTAAATATTGACTTAACATCACATCTCTTTCCCTCTGCCTCAAAGCAGGTAAAACAGTTTTCTTGCTGCATTTGTCTTCTAGTCAGACATGTGTAAAATTTGTTATTTTTCTATTTCATATCATAGGCAATGAGCTGGAATATTTTATTTCATAACATGATTTTCCACCATTCTGTTTAGCAAAACATTCACAAATAAAAGAAAGAACCTGCTTAAGATTTTGTAAGATTGGAATTTAAACCTACATCAGAGGGTAGACAATCTAAAGCCCTGAAATTTATTTCCTAAATCCAGTAGCTCCTTGCCATTGACCAGGTTGGCTAGGATTAATGGGAATTGGAGATCCAACTGGAGAGGGAAGCCTAAGTAAAATCCCCAAGGGAGAAGGCAGGTGAGGTTCTGCAGATGCTAGAAAACAATAAGACAAAAACACTTAGGAGAGATAAAGCCCAAAATCAAATATGGAAAAAAGCAACAGCAACACCAATAGTTCTGCCAAGAAAACAATATGACATTGATTGAACTATTTAAGTATGGGTCCCATCACTCTCCCACTCCAGTCAAAAATACTCCTTTAACTATTAGAAAAACATAGGCTTTATAACTGGACGTCACTGGTTACACAACAACAGAATCGAATCAACTATATAATAAGAAACAGAAGATGGAGAAGTGCAGTTCAGGCAGCTGAGACACTTCCAGCTATAGATTATGGGGACCAGGAATAAGTATCAAGTATACTGGATAAGCCTAGAAAAATAAAGAGCACAAGTATGCCAACAATATTGGACCTGAATGATACAGAGCTAGACTGTAAGATGAGTATGAGAGCCAGTTTGTAATCGTTAATGCATCAGGCTAGAAACTGGAAGACTGAGTTCTAATCCTGCCGGCATAAAACCAGCTGGGTGACTTTGAGCCAGTCACTTTCTCTCCACTCTAAGAAGGAGGCAACGGCAGACCACTTCTGGAAAACCTTGCTAAGAAACCTGCAGGACTTGTCCAGTTTCCAAGAATTGGACATGATTGAATAGAAAAAAAAATGAGCAGGATTCAGTATATTTATCTAAAAGAAAATATGAGAAAAAGATGCTGAAAAACAATTCTATAGCTCATGCTACACTGTGGGTATTATAAAAGCTAACTGATATGACAGAGTACATGATTATTCTGTGAAACTCTTTCAATGAACAAGAAGCTATTGTAAAAACTGAATTTGAAAAAGACTATTTCAGGATAGGAAAAGAAATGAAACAAAGATGCATATTGTCTCTGTAGGCACTATAAGAGAGAATGGATGGAATCAAAATATTAGGCCAAAACAGTAACAGTTATGCAGATAGCACCACTTTGTTAGCTGAAAACTAAGATAGATTTGGAAGAGTTTACTATGAAAGTAAATGTTAAAAAAAATACAAAATATAGGTTAAATATAAAGAACACAATAAATCCTGAGTTTAATGAGCCATTTTGGTGGAAAAGGCATTATGTTAAATCTAAATATCATTAAATCTGAATTTACATCATTGGCATTAATTTATATTTGGATTAAATTGTATAAATAATGTCATTTGAGTAATTATGTTATTATGCAAATGACACACATCATTGACACAAATCACATAATTTATATTAGTCATCCAGATTATTTCAGATACAGTAGATTTTGCCCATTATTTCAGGGAGATATTTGGAGGAAAAACAGTCTGTCCTGCTAAACCAGGGGTAGGCAACCCAAAACACTCAAAAGAGCCACTTGGACCCGTTTCCCACCAAAAACAAAACACTGGGAACCGCAAAACCATTTTGATATCTAAAATGAAGCTAACACTGCATATATCCTTTTTTACCATTATATATAGATATACACACACATACATATATATACATATACATACATACATACATACATACATACATACATATCTCTCATAAAGGTGAAAAGGGTATATGCAGTGTTATCTTCATTTTAGATGTCAAAAGGGTCTCTCTGTCCCCCTCTCTCTCTCTCTCCCTCTTTCTCCTTTCCTCCCTCCCCCCCTCTCTTTCTCCCCTTGGTCTGCCAGTCCTCTTCCCCCACTCTCTTTCTTTCTCTCTCTTTCTTCTGTCTTTCTCTCCCTCCCTCTCTCTTTCTCCCCCCCCTTTCTCTCCCTCTCCCTCTCTCCAATCTTCTGCTCACCTGGCAAGCTGGCTTCAAGGTGTTCTCCAACAAGCTCAGGGGTAGGCAACCCTGGCTCTTTTATGACTCATGGACTTCACTCCCAAAATTCCTGAGCCAGCATAGCTGGACTAGCTAGCTCTCTCCTGCCCTTCCTGCTTCCTGCAGAAATGCAGCAAAGGGAGGAGCTCTGCCCAGTAAGCTTTTCAGCTCTTGGAAAACACCGTGAGTCCACTCTCTCTTT